AAAAAAAAAAAAAAAAAAAAAAAAAAGAGTGACTGGCAGAACTGGGGTTAAAACTTGCCTCTTGCATCCCCAGAGAGGAAATAGGCACCCCCAGAGTTGACATGACTAAAGTCCCTGAAAACTGGGGTTCCTTGGGGGGACATTTCACAGCAGCTCACCCCTGCTTGGTGCTTTTTACCAGAGAAAATTGCCGCTGCCTCCCAGCTTCATGCAGCTCAATGAGAAATCCCCAGATTCTCAACAGAAGAGCCAGGCAAGCACAATCACCATCAAAGATTTACACAAATCTGACTTCAGTCAAGTAAGTATCAGCTCTGAGTAGGAAATCAGTCACTTTGCCACAGTCTCAGATACTTTTAAACAAAATCATCATTCATACTTGGTTTGGATCTGTTCCCAAATATCAGCCTATATAAATCTCTTTGGAATTGTCTTTATCTCTACTTAAGGAACTAGTCACATCCTCAGAATCTTAGTGAACATAACATGGGAATATTTGATCTGAAGACCTCAGAGGCTGAGGAAGGTTCTCCCGTTCCTGGCTGCCCCATACACATTAAAATAATCCAGCCAGCACCTCTAAAAAATCAGGTCAGCAAAAAATACTTTTCCTCAGACCTCTAAAAAGAGGCAAAAGATGGGGAATGTCTTTGGGATTTCTAAAACTCATAAGCAAATCCAGGTTATGACACATATCATAGGGTACATTACTCTAGTTTATTGAATGGGGAAATTAAGGTGACATTTTAAATAGTAAAACCCCAAAGTTCTCAGCAGAAAAATACACTTAATTACCACACAACAGTCTTTCTGGGTAGAAACCCCCTTTCTCATTGTGACACACAGATCTCAAAATGAGATTGTACTGACTTCCATTGAATAGCCTAGCTTCGAGCTTGCTACAAAACAAGATGGCTGTCACGAGCGGAAGCTGCATGGAGACCAGCTCAGGCCTTGCCCCTCACTGCCTGACCGCATCACTTGAGCAAAACTCGAACCTTTCCAGACCTGTTTCTTCCTTTGTAGCAACTGGAGACCATATACGTCCCACCATCTTCCCAGGATGCTTCACAATATGACATCCTCATAAGAAAGGACATCTGGAAAAACAGTCCTGACATATAATGAGTCCAAAATTAATTTGCACATTTAAAAAACAGAGTTTGAAACCAAAAGGATTTTCTGGCCAATCCTACATTTACCTAATAATTTAGTTACACAAGAATTAAAGTAAACTGAGTTCTTATTGTACTTATCTGCTAATGCCTAAAGGACTTTGAAAGCAGCCCTAATCCTTAAAAATTCAGCAATGTCTATGCTCCAAAAGACAACACACAGGCAACTCAGACTGCTTGTGAACACTTCTGCACTGCTAGGGTACATGTTGCTCCAAAGTCTTCAGAGTAACACCCAAACACAAGCAAACACAAATGATGCCAAGGTGAAGAACAATAAGTCTTAAAACACCTGGCAAGATAAAGACAAGGACAACTTGGGCAAATTAGCTCAAACTCTGAAAAATGTTGCTTTCTCTACATGCCTGGTAGAGAATTATTAAACAATTATTAAATTCAGAAAAGAGTAAGCATTTAATGAAATTTTCCTGATTTCTTCCTCCAAATTATCTTTCACTGCTTCAAGATCAACATTCTATAACAAGACCTCATAAGCCACTATCAATTGGACAATCCCATCCAATCTTCCATGATCTGAAAAGTCTATCATCCCTTGCCTGATACTCAATTCATTCCTTTACCAAATATTTATTATGGACCTACCATGTGTCAACCACTCTCCTAGGCTGGAAATTCAACAGTGAACACAAGAAACAAATCCAACTTATACTGTAATGGAGTGTATGTTCCATAGAATTCTTCCTGAATATGAAGCAGGAACTGGTTGAAAATTTATTGAATAATGCCTTAAAATAAGAATGATCAATAAATATCTATTATAAGGATGAACAAAAAGAAAAAAGAAAAAAAACATACCTAGCAAGAGACTGGTCTGGTTTTGGGATTCTACTGGGAATCCAAGATGTCATAAATTTAAACTGGCACAAAAGAAAGCCTGTTTCCTAACCACATTATAAGAAAGACAAAAATGATTTTAGAGAACATCACAAACTCTAAGTTAAAGGTAGAAGTTTTTGACATGACCTTACCTTTTTCTCTGGTTTATCATGCTCTCTGCTCTTCTCCTTGTTAGGGTCGCCAGAGTGCTCCCCATTTTTCACTCTCCGTCTGTCCCTGTCCCTTCCCTTGTCTCGATCATGCTCTCTGTCCCTGTCTCTCAGTCTTTCCTTTTCTTTTCCTCCCTCAGTCTTTCTCTCTCTCTCCTTCTCATGTTCTAAATCTTTGTCCTGGTCTTTGTTGCCTCTGTCTTTGCCCCTCTCTCTCTCCTGCTTGGCCCTGGCTTTGGTTTTTTCTCTTTCTCCTTCTCTATATCTGTCTCTCTCAGAGTCTTTATGTCTATCTCTGTCATTCTCCTTGATCTTCTCCTTGTTCCTTTCTTTTTCTCTTGGCTTGTTCTCTTCTTTCAATTCTTCTTTCTGTTTTCGATCTCCGCTTATATTTCTCTCTTTTATTTCAGAGGTTCTTCTATCCTAAAAAAATATATATATATAAATATTTTCACCTAAGCTACAAAAAGACTTACTATTTCATTTGCAAAGATGTACCACTTGCAATTCACCTCTTTATGAACTCTGGATTCTGCTTCTCTCACATTCTTATTATCCAATTCTTGAGATTTTGAGGTCAGGGAGGCCCTTCCTTTCACATCTCCCCTCTCTCCAGCTAAAACTCTCTTCACTGCATCATCACTGGAGAGCTTGATGTCCAGATGTAAGGAAATGAAATGCAAGGTGAAAATGAGATTAGTACATGTAACAAATATGAATGCTGACATTCAAAGATAGCTCATTAAATAGATAGCTCATTAAATAGATAGCTCATTATTTGTCTACCAATGAAATTCAAGAGATAAAATATTAAATATAAAAGATTAAAAGGAAATGTTATTATCACATACAAAGCACAGAATCTCTTGATAACTATTATTTTCAGCGCTAACCTCAGCCATTAACAATAGAGTCCACCCATGCCAACTGAATCCTGGTTCAATTCTATCCAGACTGCCATGTATGGAAGTGTGTGTTCAAGAACAATAAAGCTGACCACACTACTCTATAAGTACCTTATACTTCTAAAAAGATCACAAGATTCCAGCTGGAAGGGCCTCAAGATTTGATCTAACTACCTCATACTCATTAGGATAGCCGCTACTAAAAAAAAAAAGTGCTAGCAAGGATGTAGAGAAATTAGAACCCTTGTGCGCTGTTGGTGAGAAAGTAAAATAGTACAGTGGTTATGGCAAACAGTATGGCAGTTTCTCAAAAAATTAAATAGAAGATTACCACATGACCCAGCGATTCCCTTTCTGGGAATACAGCCAAAGAACTGAAAATTGGGCAGTTTTTGGTGGCCCCCAGGGTGGGCGGGCAGGTGGCAGCAGTGGTGGCTCACACAGGCTTGGCACTTGCTCACCAGCTCGCTGGCTCACTTGTCCACTTGCTCACTTGTCTGCTCGCCTGCCAAGTAGGTGGGCAGCGCAATGTCAGGCAAGGACAGCTTGGTGGGGGCAGGGGAGGTCTTGAAGAGATATTTGTACACCCATGTACATAGCAGTATTATACACAATAGCTAAAATGTGGAAGCAACCCATGCGTCCACTGAGAGATGAAAAGATAGAGAAAATGTGATATATACATACAGTAAGATATTATTCAGCCCTAAAAAGGGAAGAAATTCTAACACATGCTACAACATGGATGGACCTTGAGAATGCTATGCCAAGTGAAATAATCTACAGTCACAAAAGGACAAATACTCTATGATTCTAGTTAAACAAAGTACCTAGAGTAGTCAACTTCATAGAGACAGAAAATAGAATGGAAGTTGCCAGGGGCTACGGGAGAGAGGTAACGGGAGTTATAGTGGGGGCACAATCTCCATTTTGCAAGAGGAAAAGAGTTCTGAAAATGAATCATGGTAATGGTTATACAACACTATGAAAGTATTTAATACCACTAAACTGTACACTTAAATGGTTAAGATGGTACATTTTATATTATATGCATTTTAACACAATAAAACATTGTGACAAAAAAGGTGTGATTTAATTCAAGCCCTGTCAAATGCAAACATTTTTTTCTCCATCATCCCTGACAGCCACCTAGGGTCTTTGGCCTCTCCAGTCAGGAGTCCTGCTCACCCACACACTCGTTCCATAAGCACACACTGAGTGAGGTTACATGCCAGGATCTGTGGGCCAAGGACACTCCACATACTGGGGGAGACAGACAGATACAACAATTAAACATCAACAGGCTGTGGCAAGCCAACCAGGGCACCTAAGTCAGCCTGGGAGGGAAGAGAGGTCAGGGCCAGGGAAGAGCTCACAGAGCCCACACTGCTGCCAGGAGGAGAAGCTGGAAGAGGAAGGCAGCCCAGAACCAAAAACCGAGCATGCACTAAGGCACGAGGCACAACATGAGGCAGCGTGACCAGTGCTCACTTCAGGGGTACGTGGTAACTAGAATGGAGGGGTTCAGATATGGGAGACAAGAGAGAAAGCCCCAAAGGGAAAGAAGTAGCAGCAGATCTCTAGGAGGCTTGAGAGTCATGCCACAGAGCTAGCTGTGTTCCATGACAACTGGAAGCCAGCAAAAGAGTCAGCAGGGAAGATAAGAGTTAGATTTGCTTTTTAGACAGATGAGCAATGTAAAGGATGCAGGGAAGTGGGGTGGGGAGGTTAGGGACAGAGGCCAGTGTATGACCAAAATCAGCTTCTGAGTCTCTAAGTTCAACTGTTGGACCTGGACCAGGGCAAGGCTCTCTTGAGGCCCCTAGGAGACAGCCTAACACCACTACACACCCCCACACCCCACTGCCATCGTAGCACTGAAACCTACCTGCTCCCATTTTTAGCAACATCTGAGGCTAGACCCCAGACAACCACCCAACTGGTATATGAAGGTCTGTTAATTATACTCTTGATACAGGTCCAATTCTGCTCACCTATGGGGGCTACTCATCCCGCACAAAGAAGGAAGAGCCTGGGGGTGACCCCTCCAATGTCCGGCAAACATGGTCCAGGCTGGCCCTAATCCCAGAGACCTGAGGCCCAACACCCACATCTCCAGTCCATAGTGAAAAGCTCAGGAAGGGACAAACCTATTCCCTATACAAATGAAACAAGATTCCTTGGAAAGCAGCATAGCTCTTCAAATGCAATCAGGAAAGAGGAAGGGTGAGAGAGAGAGAAAGAAAGGAAGAGGGAGTGAAGGAGAGAGATAGGCAGACGGCAGAGACTCCCAAAAGTCTCAAGAAAGAAGCAGCTTCTGTATTCCTAGATAAAAACAGTCACCTGCCCTCAAGGAGGCCCAAAAGGGGGAGGAAGGAGGTTGGGAAGGCTGGGCATGCAGCCTCCAGCTACAGGGCCTACAGCAAAGCTCCTGTCACATTCCCTATTTTATATTTAAAGCTTGTAGAACTTATGTATAGCATAACCTTATCAGTGTTATTATTCAGTATGAAATTACTTCTCCTATACCTCTGAGGTCCAGAATAGGTGGGATCAGAGTCAAAGCACAGCGTTCAACAGACAACACCAAAACTCCTTCCTTATGCCATTCTACTATGTTGAAGTCACCCGCCCTCTGCTACTCCTCAGTACTGGTAAGTTTAGAATGCCAGTACTGCAACATTACCTTGTTGAGACAGCACTTTCCAATTAGCTGGAGCAGCTCATTTGTTTTTTCAGGCTCATGCCCGCCCACAATTCTGGCTGGTTTTGCTGACAATGGCTCTCCTGAAACCATCATGACCACATCTATGGCCTTCTGTAGGAAGCCAATTTTTGCATCTTTATCCTGAAACATTTCCATTTGAAATACAAACATTAAAATACTTCAAAGATTTTGCATTATCTTTGGCATGCTCAAAAGGCATAGGATAGTTTTTGTTTATATAAAAAGCTATGAAAAATTTAGAAATACAGATCTTTAATAACAAAACAAAAACAATTCATTAAAACTTTAATTTGGTTTTGGACTAGCACTAACCTTTGAAATACTAATTCCTTTTTTCAGTTATTAAAATTAGCATGACATACAGTTGTCACAAATGAGAAAATGAAATGAGAAAAGGTATATACATCACTTCACAAATTAATCGACTTTGTATTCCAACCATATATGAGCATATAAATAATACACTCTACAGTATAGTTTATTTAAAAATCCCCATTCAGGCAATTATCAACAGCAAAAAATAACAGCTGCTGGAGAGGGTGTGGTGAAAAGGGAACACTTCTACACTGTTGGTGGGAGTGTAAACTAGTGCAACCTCTGTGGAAAGCAGTGTGGCGATTCCTAAAAGCTCTAAACATCAACCTCCCATATGACCCTGCAATCCCCCTACTGGGAATATACCCTGAAGAACTCAAATCACTCTATAAAAAAGATACCTGCACACGTATGTTTATCGCAGCGTTGTTCACAATAGCAAGAACCTGGAAACAACCGTGCTGCCCATCAAAAGAAGACTGAATTTAAAAAATGTGGTACATATACACAATAGAATACTACGCAGCCATAAAAAAGAACAAAATCATGAATTTCGCAGCAACCTGGATGGAACTAGAGTCTATAATACTGAGTGACCTCTCACAGAAACAAAGATCCGAGTATCACATGTTCTCACTCATATAATGGACCTTGAACATCCAATGTAATACTATAAGAAAATGACTGACGGTACTGGGAAACTCCGGGGGGGTGGAGATGGGATTAACAGTAGCAAATATCTGTCTGGGGATGGGGAAACACCTCTTATCAACAGGGTGCCTGAATGAAACGTAATTGTACACCTAACCCTTATCTGTACCCCACAAAACCATAATAAAAAATATTGATTATGGAAAAATTAAAAAAAATAATAAAAATCCCCATTCATTAAGGCAAGGAGGGGAGAAGATGAACCTCCACTCAAACCTACCTTAACATTATCAGACTTCATCTCAGCATCTGTGTAGAGGCCCTTCATGAAACCAGTCATTCTAATTACCTTCAAAAGAGAAACAGAAGCCATCATGTCACCTCACAGAAGAGCCTCTTCATCAGCCCCACCCACTGAACCCCACACATAGGAGGTGTCAGAATGGACTGGCAGTCAGGAAGTGAATCATCCACTTACTCCACAAATATTTGACATTTGTCCCAGGCAGAACCTGGTCTGGTCCTCAAAGAACTTAGTCTGGCTGTGGAGGCAGACAAAGTTTACAAACACTGTACAGGTATTCAGGAAGCATGCAGGATCAGTACCTAGTCCATACTTGAGGTAGGGAATGAGGGGTCACAGGAAAGGCCTCTCAGAAGAAATCATACCTACACTGAGACCAGAAGGCTTACAGATAAGCTGGGGGAGGGGACATTTAGGAAGCATATGCCAGACAAAAGAAACAGGCTACACAAGGTTCAGGGCCCAAAGGATCCTGTTCAAGAGATCAAAAGAAGTTTGGGAGGATGGGAAGAGGCAGAGGCCAGAGAGAAGCATGACCCTAGCCTAGAGGCCCTCCAAAGCCACTCAGGAACATGAACGTAGCCTAAAGGCCATGAGGAAACCTAGGATAGGTCTAAGGCAAAGAAGGACCTGACCACAACAGCACAGTGGAGGGACTAGATCCCAGAAAGAAAAGAGACTTCTCACTGGGCACGGTGGCTCATGCCTGTAATCTTAGCACTTTGGGAGGCCAAGGTGAGAGGAATGCCTGAGTCCAGGAGTTCGAGACCAGCTGGGCAACTTCATCTCTACAATGAATCAAAAAATTAGCCGGGTATGGTGGCATGTGCCTGTAGTTCAAACTACTTGGAAGGTTGAGGCGGAAGGATTGCCTGAGTCCAGCAGGTCGAGGCTGTGGTGGCTATGAGCGTGCCACTACACTCCAGCCTGGGTGACAGAATGAGAGTCCAACTCAAAAAAAAAAGAGACTTCTCAGCCTGGGTTTCTAAAACTGGAAATTCTGGAAGAGTCTTTCTCCTTACTACCTGTTATCACTCACTTCATAAGATAGTGGAGTGCTCTGTACCCCAATCACTCTTTTTCTCTCCTCTCTCTCCCCTCAGGTAACTTATACCTCCTAATTACCCCTAAAACCAGCTTTTAGGGTGGTGATTTTCTCTGTTCCTCTCCACTGCCTACACCCAGCCAAGGTCCTGGGCTCCCTCAGACCAAAGTTTTTCAAAATGTGGCAGATTACTATAAAATTAATACAGTGGATAGCAACAAGCATCCTTTTAAAAAATGAAACAGAACAGCAGGTCCTTTCTCCAGGAGGATACATGATATGTAATAAGGATAAGTTTGCCTATATGTGGGTATCCTAGGAGCTCTAAAGCATTTTTATTACCTTGGCACATGTTTTAAAAACAAAAACAAAAAGATAGCTCCACCCTAAAGTCAGTCTCCTTTTCTGGAAGCTAGCTACTACTACTTAATTTACATCAAGTTAGGTATTAATTTATCTAGAAGTTTTCATTCCACACCAAACCATTTAAGAGCCATGCTGTTTTTCTGTTTTTCTTGAGAAGACAGGTGGAATATTTTTCTTTTTTTTTTGAGTTGGAGTCTCACTCAGTCGCCCAGACTGGAGTGCAGTGGCCGCTCCCAGCCACCGCAGCCTCGACCTGCTGGGCTCCAGAGATCCTGCCACCTCAGCCTTCTGAGTAGCTGGCATTACAGGCGCGTGCTACCACGCCCGGTTAATTTTTTGATTTATTGTAGACATGAGGTCTCGCCAAGTTGCCCAGGCGGGTCTCAAACCCGCGGGCTCAGGCAATCCACTCACTTCAGCCTCCCAAAGGCACGGGATTACAGGCTGAGCCACCGAGCCTGGCAACAGGTGGAATATTGAGCATTAAGTATTTAATAATCCTGAAACTTTTTTTTTTTTGAAAGCAAGATATTGAGAGGACAGAAAAGCTCCCACAGTGGGAGGGGACCCGAAGGGGTTGCCCCTGAAGCTTTTTCATTTTGGCTCTGTTGACGTTTTTTCAGGATGCTGGCAGTTAAAATTATGAGCAATAATTTTAAGTGATGAGAGACAACATCATATGATTGACACTAAGCTTAATAAAAGGTGCAGTTAGTTTAGCTATAGATAAAATACTAATATGTCAATCTGAGTACAATATTCAGAGACAGTAAGGAATTTACATGGGAGCCTCTCCACTTATTATCTGAAAATACTTTCCAATATGCCAATCACTCGAACATCTTTATCCTGTAGGTGACAATTAATGTATTTATCTTTACATGGGTAGAGAAATTAATTTCAGCATTAAATTAGGAAAAGTCTGTAAAGAAAAGCAGACCAGTCACTCCCGATTGGGAACACGTAAAATTTCACACAACCTGTCTACCTGGCCAACAAAGTCAATTCTTGCTTGAATGTTTCTTTTCTTCTTCCACGATGATGCCCTCCAACCAACCACACCAATTACAAGTTACTGAGCAGCCACTAAGAGCTGAACACCACCCCAAGGCCATAACGATGAGGCACACTTCCCTGTACCTTCCACTTATGACTCTGCATTTCAGAGGGGGGACGGGACTAACACAGAAGATAAAACGTTCTGATGGCCACAGCTATAATGGGCTGAGCTCACATCCAGCTAACTCTTACTTGTTCCCTCCAAGTCAGAAGGCATTGCCTGCCTACTTCCAAGGGTGGTGGGGACAAGCATAGTGTCCTGCCTCCAGTGGGCTCTCTACATAGCCTGGTTCCTTCCTCAACACTGTCCAGTCTGTAAGTGCTCTGGATAGGAGGAGGAGATGACTAGTGCAGACAGCCCTTTGAGATATGTGGGTGGTGGGTTCGAGAGCATTTTTAAGCACACAACGTGTTTTTAACACAGAGGCACACGTTCCAGGAGAACACAAATTACAAGCTAAGATAAGATGGCAAAAACGAGTAAAGTAAAGTTTGTGGAAGAATAAGGTGCCAAACTTGTTGAAAAGAGTACAAAATAAAGTTTGAAGACCAACAAGGGGTGAGATTATGAGCCTCTGGAATTCTGCAGGTCCAATCTGACTCCTAAAGCCCTAAGTGCTCTCAGGTGCACCATGGAAATGGGCACTGTCACCCCCTGCGGTGATACACCTGAGAGTTACCAGGGCTTTGATAGAACCCATTCAACAGTGAATGTTTGTTATGCAATTTCTATGTACCTTACCTAGTGAGGTTCACCCAAGATATGCTAACAAATAAGTTAGTCTCTGACATTCAGGAATTCATCATCCTCAAATAGGGAAAAGTCACACCAGACAACCAATCTCATCGAGGGCAGACTGTGTGGTTTATCTACAAATACTAAATGGCTCTTTTACAGGTTTCAGGCCCCCCTAAAATGCACCCACAGTTATTTATTAGGCATCAAAAATGTGGTATGGAGGGAAACTTTTTCGGGGAGGACTATAAAAAAGAATAATTCCATTCTCCCAGGATTTATGAAGCGCCCTCCACGTGCTGCCTGCTGCAGCATAACCGAGAAGAATTTAACAGGATTTGTGGGGGGAGGTAATATCACAGAAACAGCTCTGCCAGGCAGAATAACAGATGTGCTCTAAACGGATACAGGAGTAGGCAGGAAAGAAATGAGAATGTTCCCTGAGGGGCATGGGAGCCTCTCTGTGAGAGGCGGCCCAGACGGATGGGTGAAAGCTAGGACATCGGCGCAGGGGGCACCGCGGAATTGGGCCTCCTGGTTGTCCCTGGGGTGGCAGGCCGGGTTCCCGAAGCAGGGGCTGCACAATAGGTCTCCCCAGCCCCAATCCCAGCTCCCG